TTGTAGGTCAACTCACGGAATCGAACCTGGAACCACAGACTCCTGAGGGGAATGCTCCATCCATTAGACCACGAAAATACTTGAAAAAGTTGTCTAAACAGCATTTGCTGACTTTGGCGTAGTCGACCGACCATAGTCAATTGCCTTGTTTCGCACGCCGCTTTTTGCATTAATGCTAATTATTTTATGAAAACATGTTTGATTGTAGATTATTGTACCTTTTTGGTTAGCTAATGCAACAGAGAACTCTGTTATGAAGTTTTTACGGATTATTCCATAGTGATTTTTTACAGTAGATTACTATGAGTGTTGAAAAAAATCCCTTTCCACCAAAATATTTTCTTGTTTTGGCGCTGTATTTTAAAAAAGAAGAGTATTTCTAACTAAACTTGTAACTAAAATGATTGTCCTATTCATTCACTATGAGATCATGTCAAAAAACTATGCATAAAACGGTTTGGCTAGCTTTCGCATGACTTTTAAAGTTGAAATCGGGAAATTTTCTTTAAAAAATCAAAAGTCCTAATAATTTTGTAACCAATCATTTCCGACCCCTGGTTCCATGGAAGAATATGTTGGAAATGGCCCCCCCTCTAACCACCTTCAGGGAATGCATCGAATTTCCAATCACCCTGTATAATAAAGTTCCATCAGTTCCTCATACAAGACAAAAGTGGTATTATTTATAAGTGGTAATGGTAATTAGTCAGTTCAGGGCCTTTTCATGGTCCTTCGAGCCGGATCAGCGCAAAGTGGAACAGCGCAAAATCCGCCGCGAGTAAGTCTTCCAAACCAGTAGTGGAAGCTGGCCTGAAGTCAGAAGGCCATCGACGTTTTTGCCCAGCCGCGCCGCCATGCCGACGCGGATTTTGGCCGCGATGCCATGCGACGCGGATTTTTGGACGCGCTGCCGTGCGACGAAGATTGACCGCGCCGCCTTCATGCTGCCGCAGATGTTTGACTGCGCCGCGCCTCGAAGACACCGTCGATGGGAAGAAGAAGAGCCACTTGCTGGGATTTGAGTCGTCGTGGCGCTTGCACAAAAAATCGATCACCGCTGCCCTTTTACATCAAGAAAAATATTTCGAACACGAAGTGTATCGAGTTCGAAGGTGGGCAGAGGCCAAGAGCATAAAGCTTAGACGCTTAGCGCGCTAGCAAAATGGCTTAGCTGCAAAAAAATAAAGAGCGCACTGCACCGTACAAATAAAAAAAGAAGAATTCAAAGAATGTTAGTTGCTCGTTGGGTAATTCTATTTCCTAAGATGGACACAATATCGTGGTGTGCATGTATACTGGTGGTGGCTATACTGTCACATCAGGTGTCGGCTATATATTTGCTGCATATCAAGGTAGATATTAGTCGCAAATGGACAAAAAGAGTCCAGAAGGCATTGAAACCCACACATCGCACCACAATCTTTCAAAGGATCCATTCTAGAATGTCACATGAATTAGCGCAACAGAAAGTAAAGGCAACACATACAATACAACGGGAGCAACGCACAAAACAAAGAAAGAACTGCTCGTAGAAACATCAGTCAATCGCAGCAAACCTTTTAAGATATAAAATATTCTGGAATCGGAAGACACTCGTTTTTTTTAAGATGCCACTGGACTGAACGCAGAACTACAAATTTAATAACTTACTTACCACTTCTGAGGACTCACAATACCAAGCTGACTAGCCAAGCTGGCAGTCGCATACACTGTCAAATTTCAAATGAATGAAAATTCGAACATCAGAGAGTTCGAAGGTGGGCGGAGTCAGGCTGCTGTAAAGAAATACTTATGGACCTCAAGGTTTTGTTCATTACAACTAGAAGTTCTGGAGAGCTTTATACAACGGAATGATGAAATGGAAAGAAATTGAAGGAAAGACAGATGAGAACTGTGCAAACTCGTAAAGAACAAAGTAATGGAATGGACTAAAGAAGGAACGTGTTGATAAGCAATATTTAGAAAGGAAAGACAGAAAAGAACTGTACAAATTCGTAAAGATCAGAACTGTACTCGCAGAATGGAAAAGAAAATGGCAAACTGACCTTGAAGATAGTACAGCATAGCACAAATCATTCGTCGTCTTGACTTCTTGAAATTTTGACTTTACTAAAACCAAAAGACAATATGCGAACCATATAAGACATTTGTCCTAGATTAAACCAATATGCAGTCCACTTAAATTCGAAGATGGTGACAAATGTACGGGAGCATATTCATGAAAGAAAAGACTTTTGGAGTAATTTACAAGATACTTGAAGAATTACACTTGTGGATCAATCAAAAGAAGAGCAAGTGAGCTGAATTCTTCAAAACTTTTGTATTATTTACTCTTTGAGGTGTATATTTTTTAGAAGTGTTTAATTTGTTATTCGTTTACTAAGAACGAAAATAACGTTCTTGGCGGGCGGAATGTTAAAGACAGTTTTTGTTGGCATTTTATAGATGTCGCTGGTAGTTACCTAGAACGCGCTATCGAGATGTTCTTGTGAAATCTATATAAAGACCTATATAATAAAGTTCCATCAGTTCCTCATACAAGACAAAAGTGGTATTATTTATAAGTGGTAATGGTAATTAGTCAGTTCAGGGCCTTTTTAACCCACATGGTCTCAAATATCCTAAAGATTTATAATAATCCACAAAAATGTTATAGTTGTTTTTATTTTTCGATATTTTTCAAAAGTAATTCAATTACGACATCAACAAGGCGCCGATGGTTGAGACTGCTCCTTGTCGTAGAGGAGACGTAAATACGGTTGTCATAGCTCGACACAGCATAGACAAAAGTGTCAAAATAATCGTAGAAAGGAACAAAAAATCCGATGACGTTACATGTTTTTCATACAAATTACTTGTCAAACTCTATTTGACATTTCGACAAGGCTTGGGACGTAACTGGAACGGAAGGCCTGCGGAATGGATTTCCATACAAAACATGCTGGCAGAGATAGGACGTAATTAGCGTTTTAGACCCCCTGTGTTCAGTTTCATGGACTGAATCACCCATATTCAAAATAAGTATATGCAGTTTTTTTTACATAGGCACTGAAGATAGAGACAATATTCTTCGGTTAATGTTTGTCTAGGACCCGTGAAAACTTCCAGTAGTTATTTTAGTACACCCAAACATTACAGTGATTACCCCATACTGATACCCCGGGATATCATTACGGCTAATTTCATTGAAGAATGTAATTTCCGTCGCCGCGCCAAAAAAGGGAAAAATTCTACCGAAGGGCGGAATTAAGGCACTTAGTGGGCAGCCTTCTGTTCTGACAGGGATTGATTCAGCCCACTTGTCTGTGTGTAGTGCCTCCATGGTTGGAAATAGCTGGAAATGACTGGAAGTGATGAAGGAAAAAACGTGATAGGGTGGGCCTTGAATCACTTATTGGAAAACGGCCGTGAAAAGAACTTTTTAAAGAGACTTTTCTTATTCAAACAAATGGGTAGGAACTTACCTAGCTTAGAAAAACCCTTTCAATCGAAACTCGCATTAGCCCGCAAGTCAACGATTTAAGTATTTCTCAGGACTACCGGTAGGCATGTCAGTAGGTAAATCTTTTATAAATGTATTAAAATATTAGTGCATTACAATAAAAATACTCATAAGGTTAGTTTCCAATCCAAACCTGGTCTGGTACGTCATTTGGCTAGTTCCAGCATCGCATATCCCCTGTAAAAACGTCCTGCCAGTAATTTGGCGCGCGAATGTTCGTTATGGCACAAAAGTGATGCCCTGTAGCTGTAGACTCTCTCCACTACACTCAAGCCCATTGTAATTTTGATTCTTTCATCGTATTTGTATAGTCTTGCAGGTTGCTCCTTCTAGCATACATATTCCTTGTAACACACCCTGCCAATTGGGTGTGTGAGTGCTCGTTATGGCACAAAAGTGATGCCCTGTAGCTTTAATCTCGCGCCGCGTCCCTCAAATCCATTGTATTTTTTTTGTTTTCGTCGTATTTGTATAGTGTTGCTCCTTCTAGCATACATGTTCCTTGTAACACACCCTGCCAATTTGACGGGCGAGTGCTCGTTATGGCACAAAAGTGACGCCCTGTAGCTGTAATCTCGCGCCGCGTCCCTCAAATCCATTGTATTTTTTTTGTTTTCGTCGTATTTGTATAGTGTTGCTCCTTCTAGCATACATGTTCCTTGTAACACACCCTGCCAATTTGACGGGCGAGTGCTCGTTATGGCACAAAAGTGACGCCCTGTAGCTGTAATCTCGCGCCGCGTCCCTCAAATCCATTGTATTTTTTTTTGTTTTCGTCGTATTTGTATAGTGTTGCTCCTTCTAGCATACATGTTCCTTGTAACACACACTGCCAATTCGGCTGGCGAGTACTCGTTACGTTGTTATGGCACAAAAGTAATGCCCTGTAGGCTCCCGCCGCTCCGCTCGAGCCCACTGTCATTTCGGATCGTTTATCGTATTTGTATAGTGTTGCTCCTTCTAGCATACATGTTCCTTGTAACACACCCTGCCAATTTGGCGGGCGAGTGCTCGTTATGGCACAAAAGTGATGCCCTGTAGGCTCCCGCTGCTCCGCTCGAGCCCACTGTCATTTTGATTCTTACATCCTATTAGTATATAGTGTTGCTTGTTCCAGAACTACATATAACTTGTAACACACTCTGCTAGTTTAGCGGACGAGTGCTCGTCTTGGCACAAAAGAGATGCCCTGTAGGCTTCCGCCGCTCCGCTCAAGCACACTGTTATTTCTTTTTTTTTGTGTTTGTATAGTGTTGCTCTTTCCAGAGCTACATATTCCTTGAATACCAAATTTTAAAACACTTCTCGTGTTAGGTAAACAATTTTTGGAAAATTTGGTATTCAATTTATCGCGGGTTTTCATCGCTTTGACTACATTCAATCTGTAAAGAATGAATTAGTCGCTGGGAATTAGTTGCAAAAACTATCCCGGTAGATGGAGCCCATCCACGCGATAGTGGACAAGATATACTTCCTTAATTTCGCGGGCTCGATTAGAACCGCGGTAGCCCAGTTGGTTAGGGCGTCGGCAGTACTAATGCTGAAGGTCGCAGGTTCAAATCCTGCCTGCGGTGAAATTTTGGAAGTTTTCCAAAAATTACATATTCCTTGTAACACACCCTGCCAATTTGGCGGGCGAGTGCTTGTCATGGCACAAAAGTGATGCCCTGTAGGCTCCCGCCGCTCCGCTCGAGCCCACTGTCATTTCGGATCTTCTATCGTATTTGTATAGTGTTGCTCCTTCTAGCATACATGTTCCTTGTAACACACCCTGCCAATTTGGCGGCCGAGTGCTCGTTATGGCACAAAAGTGATGCCCTGTAGGCTCCCGCCGCTCCGCTCGAACCCACTGTCATTTCGGATCGTTTATCGTATTTGCGTAGTGTTTGCTTATTCGAATGTCGGATTTTGTTTTATCGGTAGTATGTGAAGGACTGATAATACGAAAGATATGGGAGTTGATAGATAGGTATTATGATACAGTATTCGCTTAAAACTTATTTAAAAAAAAAAACCGGCCAAGAGCGTGTCAAACACGCCCACAAATAGGGTTTCGTAGTCAACGTTTAAATATCAGGTTTTTCAGCATTGCAAACTTAATTTTGTTGCTGGTTTGTTAGCAGCAGTATGATGACCAACCGCAAATAGAAAAACTCAATTTTTTCTGAAACCTTTAAGGGTACAATATCCGTTATAGTTTTCATTGTAACTTCAGATTGTAAGCTATATTCCATATTTATTTCAAACTTTTAGCGTTTATACTTTAGAAGTTACAGCTGGAACAAATTATGGGTCAAAAACGCCCTTTTTAAAAGCAAATATCTCATGACTGAAACATTTTAGTGACTTTGTTTCAAAAAACCTCACCTTAGTTTTAAAAGACCTATTCAACGATACCCTACTCAATATTACAGAAGAAAAAAAAGTTTTTGCCCCCCTTTCACTTGTATGGGAGGGGGTCCAAAAAACATTTAAAATATTTTTTTCTTTACATTTCTATATTTGGGTCAACACGGTCTATCTTCTCACCAAATTTCATGTCGATAGCTCTAAAACTGACGAAGATATGAGGGCGCGGCATACAGACAGACAGACAGACAGACAGACATGACGAAACTATAAGGGTTTCTAGTAGACTACGAAACCCTAAAAACAAATTCGGTCATTTATACGTAACTTAGCTCTTTTGTTTTATTGCAGCTTTTAATATCATAATTAACATTTTATTAGAATTTGACGGTACAAAGCACTCACAGTCAAAAATAAGTTTAATTATAAACTCCCTAGAAGACAAAAGATCCATGAGAGTGGATGTTATTAAAGATGCCAGAAGTTCTCAAACTTTGGTCGTTATTTATCCCTGCTTGTAATTGCCACCCATGAAACGAACGAATACTCTCCGGTTTCCAAAATTGCGACCCAGGCTACGGCAAAAAAATAATAGGTATATCTTTATATCTATTTTACTATGAATTATAAATTATATCGTCATATTTTATGCACTGATATACAAACATAACAATATCACGCCTATGTCCCTTGCGAGGTAGGCAGAGCGCAAACGGCTGCAAAAAACGTCCTTATACACCACGTCTGACAAAAGCTTGAGAGTCACTCAGAAGACTGTGTATCACTATACTGTTGTCAGTCTGTCGCCTAAAATTACATTTTATGTACTTTTTTAGATAAAAAGTATTGTAAAGTTTACTATTATTTGGCTAAATGACGACAGAGAGGATAATGGTAGTCTGACCAAAGGGAAGACTGTTCCATCCGGCCAGATTTGGAGGTTGACCAAGGGTATCACTCGTAAGCAGTTTCATAAAAAGTACCTATAAGTCGGTCGAGATGTCGTTTCTGTCTTATTGACATATCGGTACACTATGAGAAGCACTGACTAACTTTTACAGTTTTAAAGATAGAACGTGCGCACAACCAACTGCGCTTGTTTCGAGGCTGAAGTTGTGCAACGCTGATCTCAGGTCAGGGTTGTAAGATCTAGATCCAGATTCTAGATAACTTGAGAGCTTTCAGGCTTCGAAAGCCTATGCAGGGTTAGAAAAACACGCAAGAATTTATTTCCAAAGAGTGTGCTTTGCCAATATTTCAATCTTAATTAATTGACGACAATATACACAACCTGAAGAGTCAACTTTTTGTGAAAATGAATGGAAATTCCGATTTTGAAATTGCCAAATCATGTAAGACCAAAAAAAAAAAACAAATAACGGCATCCGAACTCATAAAACTTTTCGGTTTGGCCGTTCGTAAACAGATTCTCATACGAGTTTGATACATATTTTATGTCTTGTGTCAGTAATGTGATTTGTGTGTTGCGTTGTTGGTTTGTTACAAAATATAAATGGTTTTGAGATTTTCCGAAATTCATTTGAAATTTTCACTCTAGTTTGGAATTATTAAATACCACAATTGAACAGCAAATCAACAAAACAAAGTAAGTTAATGTTGTGTATAGGACCTCTTGACTCCAAAAGCATTGTACTGGAACCCGTTCGCTCAGTCTCCACAAGCCCTAAGAGTGAGTCAGGCCATTAATCATCGCTCAGGACATGAGACTATGTAGACACACACAACTATACTCGTACACTGACTACACTCAACCACACATTACTCTTGATGGAACTCTAGCTTTTACTTTGATTGAAATCATACCACGACTAGCATTTTTCTTAATAAAAGACCTGATAGAACGGTGTTTCGGATTTGTAAAATCTATTTATTATACAGTACCGTACACAGCCATTCTCTTTCAAAAGTCAAGTGACGTAACAATTAGCCTGCAATTTAGTGTTCCCATCAAACTAAAAACAATTCCAAAAAAATAACACGTACTAAAAAGGCACTTCTTTGATTGCAAAATGCTAAATGTCAGGATCAAAACCGGAGGCATAGATGATATGACCGCGGTATTAGGCCATGATAATGTACTCCATCATTCATGGAGCAAAATTGGGTAAAGGCGTGACAGAACAGTGTGGCTGTAGTTTATACTGCCTGAGTACTATCTGCAGCAGCTCGATTTATCAACCTACTAAGTAATAGTAAATCAACTCATACAAAATCTGGACTATATCGCGGGCTGTTGACAACTTGAGAAGCCAGTTTTGTATGGAAATATTAAATTCGATAATCATCCGCTGTCATGCCAGCCAACAAGATTCATATAAGTATCATTGAAAACAAGTAGTGTGGATCCATGGACCTACCTAATACATTTTGAATATTATTGGCTTTTTATATCTTTTTACTTTTTATTTTCATTTTTTACAGTGCATTCCATGTGCCGTGTCGTATCAGCTATCAAGCGAGGGCAACCGCTGTCCCTAGTTATTTTTAAACACCAAGCGAACCGGTATCGTGTTAATCCCTTGAAAGGGTAACTCTGGGTGCTGCTGATAGTACAACGGCTGTATATCTAGAGGCTGTGTTTCTGACATTTGCATGTTACACTAATGCCTTTTTGGTAAAGAGATTAGAGAGCTCGCCACTGCTTTTGGTAGAGACGGTCTTATATTTGATGTATGGTGGTTCTTCGTGTGTTATGTAATCTGGATTGTATGCGAACGTATACCTACGGGCTTTCTGACTTAAACTAGATTTGCAAAATTAGTTTGTACCCGTTTATTTACAAGCTTGGAAGATGTAAATTGAGAGTACAGAATAGGTATATATTCGAAGGGAAGGTTTTTATTTATACTTAATTGCTACAAATAGGTAATTTGAAAGAAAATAAAACATTTTAATGAGTAATTTTGAATCTTTCTTCTTTTTGTCGAGTGCCACTGAGTCCACGAACGACCCGATATTTGATTTTCCTATCAACTTATTAGGTACTTATTCACTGTATTAGCAAAGTATTTATTAAATATAGCTATATATTATTAATATGAGTTGCACATTCTGCCTGCATAATCTGCATAATGCGATTTTTAATATACTTATTAAGTACAACTTCCATTGCAAATAAGCTGCATGCACTTAAACTCTCTTATTTATAATTTTTATTACTGTTGGCCATATCTCCTGTGCTTATTTTGCCTTTTTTGCATACCATATTTAGATAGCCCTGTATAACAGTAACATAATCAGTCAAATACCTCGGAGCTTTTTATAAATTGGTATAATGGGGTTTTTATGGTTGGGTAGGTATAGGGTAAAGTACGGATAGATGCGCACCTTTCGGAAAATGCTCTATAACTCAATAATTAAGACCTTATTTACAAAATTATCTTTACAGATTAAAGGATTGATCTTTAATCTTTCATTAAAGCCCTAATTCATGAATTTAATTTATATTGTTTTGTTGTAAATCCAGTTTTATTTGACCTCTTAAAAAAGGGATAGTCGCGCACCCGCACGGATAGTTGCGCAGCTCTAAAAATCATGGGGGGATACTTGCGCTTTGAAGATTACCTAGGTGACTTACTATGAAATTTGTACTTTATTTAAATCAAACCAATTTGAAATTAATTTGATTAAATACTTATTTTAAAAATCGAATAGGCCTCCGAAACTTAATATTATTACTATTTCTAAAGTTATTGAGTGCTAAGTCATTATTTCAGTAAAAAAATTGTATCAACGCGTAGGTAGCATAAAAATGTATGTTGAACAGCGTCCATATCTAGACTGTAATTTAGAAGCATTTTATCCATCTTCAACATACTAAAATAAACAAAAATATCAATCTGCGCAACTATCCCCCAAAGCGCAACTATCCGTCCAAAAAACCTGCGCAAATATCCTTTTTGGTACGGATAGTTGCGCATTTAATTAAAAAAATAATGATTTGATATTTTGGAATAATTAATAAATGGGTACAAACTTTATAAAGTAGTGCATATGAGGAAATAAAAATGTGAGCGATTCTACAATCGTGAGAAAAAATACCCGAAAAACAAAATATGCTAAAATAATTTCGATGCCCGGTTTGCCAACGCTACCGAAGATTTTTGCTTAAACTGGCGTAAATTGTGCAATTACTCCAATAATTAACGTGGTACTTGGGCTTTCAGGAGGAAGACTACTATGTTTTATTAAGCAATAGTGCTTA